CGGAGCGAGCCCCCGCCCGGCTCCGGGGAGCGCCGGCCGCTCGGGCGCGGGCTGGAGCCTCCGGTCCCTGCCGCCCCGGGGGGGAATTGGCCTTTAAACCTCGTGTGTGAACGAGCGACCCTCCGTTTTCAGCCTTAAGGATCCCCCCGCCTCCAGGCTGGGAAGTCCGCGGCAGACGGGGTGCCCTGCACTGGGGGATGGGCAGCAAACAGATGGCCACAGGTGAATGGTCATTATTATGCCGTTAATTGGCTAATCGTGCAAAAAAAGCCCACCCGCTACAGGTGCCATGCAAGTATCGAGCCATTAACTGGGGAGTTGCGCAAGAGACGTGGACTGGCAAAGTGAGACCGGCCGCAAGGGCGGTGTAGTTGTCCTGCGCTTGAGTGGCGGGTGACGCTGTAAATGTAACGCGTCAAGCCGAGTCAGTCCTGCGGCTGCTGCGACGGTCGGGGCCGCTTTGGTGCTGCAACGAGCCTCCTGGGTTAGTTGAGTTGCTTTGCACCAGGGGTGACTCTTTGGGCAGAGCGACCTGGGGGCGCCCATCATCTCTCCGCATAAGGATGGCTGTTGGCTCGGGGAGCTCATCCAGCCTTTGACAGGTCTTGTTTTTAGTCATGTTGGGTGTCCACGCACCCTCCTCATTCAGGCTAACCTGGGTGGCTGTGCTGTTTTATTTGCTGACAGCCCATCCTCCATGCAACAGGCTGTACTGGTTTACATTTTGCCAAGAGCGGACCAAGAGGGGCCTGGCCTGGCAAAAGTACTCGCCATGTCATAAAAATGTCCATCCAGCTATAAAAAGAGCTGATCAGCGACAAAGTTAGTGGTTGAAAATGTGTAACAACTTTACAGCTGGTTTCTGTCCAGCTTTCATTTAAACATATTTTTAAGACTGCTGAAATGGGAGCCCTCCTCTGGGTTAATTAGTTTGATTGACGCCCAGTCTGGTGGCTTTGTGTAGCTGATAGCAGTGAAGGTACTGGAGGTTTTAGTGCTATGTCTGTCTTTTTGCTGGCATGCATGATCTTGCTTTTCAGAGCCTGCTGCATACGAGTGTTTATCTGCAGCAGTGGATCCATTGAAAACTGGTTCGTTTCCTAAGTCCCTGTACAATGTTGGGGTTGTGTAAGGAGATAGACAGCATGTAGCAGGAGCCCTTCATGTGACGCTTCTTCTGTCTTGGGTTAACCTATGGCAGGCAAGTCAAGCCGTCCTAATTTAATTGCATCAGCTTCACCCTCCTCCCCTCCCCTGCAGATGCCTTCCACAGTAGCCAGGGACTGCTGGGGATGGGAGCCCCTTCATTGGTCGTGTTTGTTTCTAGGGGGGCTGTAGGGACCATGGGTTGCAAGTGTTCCTCATTTGTTTACACTCTAAAGATAAATTGCAGTAAGTATAGCTTTTTAAAAACTGCATGTGTGTGGAAAAGAACCTTGCTGATCATTGACTAACCTGCAAATATTACATGGCCTGTTTCTTAAAACAATCCAGTAGTCAGGCTACCATAAGAGGCGAGCCTATATACAAAAAGGATTATCTATAAAACCTCTGCAGTGGTAGCTTCTCAAAATCATGTAGTGTGCAGTGGCTCTCAAACTTTTTAGATGCAAGGCACCCCTTAGAAAATGCTCTTCTTAGCTTTTATTCATTTTTTGGACTACAGTAAAATAATAGAGTAATTCCTCTATTGCAGAGAACTCAGAAGGACCAAAACAGGTCAGAATGTTATTTCATACTATGGATTCATAATCCGGGTTGAGAATTACTGAAATGGTGTGGTACAAATATAGCATTGAAAGTAATACTGCAATGCACTTCTGGATAGCTTCTTTTCTCCTTTTTCCTACATTTTCTACCCAGCTTTAATTTTTTTCTGCCCATTGCTCTAACCAAATGGTAGCTTTATTTTAAATAGCATTACTCCAAGACTTAGTCTTCTAGAACTGCATACTCCTTACATAGCACAGAATTTACTGCTGTTGCACATGCCACTTTTTCTTTGCCTCTCGCATTCTACTCCTCCGCAAGAAACAACAAACACTTCTTACTAAACCATGAAATTCCTGTGTTCAACTCTACTGGGAAAATTTCTTTGCTCCTTCGTGATTTATTTATGGTAAGGAAAAAGGAGATCTGTTGAATAAACTAAGATGGCTTGATTAAAATACCCATTTCCTTTGGTTCTTTTAAATAATTTTTGTGAGTCTGTGCATGTGTTAAATAAAATTACTGAACAGGTCTAGCATCAGTTCTTCTGCTCCTAAGCTATAATAATCTTGTGTGTCCTGTCTAAATATTTAACAGCTATATTACCTCTTGTCCATAGAACACCGGTCCTAGACTAGTCTTACTGACTTCATTTTTATAACATTTAATAAATTGGTATGTGTGTATGTCATCTCTCCTTCTCAGAGAGTTTTTCTTTCACCAAGTTTTTCAGTATCTTACCAAATTTTGCTTTTATAATTTTTTTGTTCTTGATCAAGTTCTTTAGGATATGGAAAATAGCAGAATTTTTTTCCTCTGATTGCCTAATATTTTTTAATATACTTCTAATCATTCTTAATATTTATGAGCCACATTCACAATTATTTCTGCATCCTTCAAGTTTTATGTACTACTTAGATATCTAGCTTTTTGTACCCCAACTGCTTAGCTCATATCATCTTAAATCGTGACTGAATAGCACTTTTTTTTTCTTCCAGTTCTTGAGGCCATTTGACACCGTTGGGGCTTTTGACATTCTCTCCCATGACATTCTCAAAAATCTAAGGAATTACAGACTAGATGAAAGTACTGTAAAGTGGATACGTTACTGGTTGGATGATTGTGCTTAATGAGTAGTCGTCAATGGTTCTAGGTCTAGTGGGAGGAGGTTACAAGTAGGGCTTCCTAAGCATCTGTCCCGGGGCTGGTATGTTCAACATCTTCATTAATGATTTCGATAATGGGATTGAGTGCTCACTCTGCAGATCTGCAGACAACACCAAGTTGGGTGGAGTTGCAGATACTCTGGAGGGTAGGGTTAGAATGACCAAGATACATTGGAGGAATAGTCTGCAATCAATTGGATGAGGTTCAACAAGGACAAGTGCAAAATCCTGCACTTAGGATGGAATAATTGCAGGAACACACATAGTATCATAGTACTTAGGGTCAGAAGGGACCTAAACAGATCATCAGGTCTGACCCCCTGCCCCAGGCAGGAATGGGTGCCAGGATCATATCACCCCAGGCAAATATCTGTCCAGTCTCCTCTTGAAGACCCCCCAAGGTAGGAGAGAGTACCACCTCACTTGGGAGCCCATTCCAGAGCCTGGCAGCCCTAACTGTAAAGTAATGTCTCCTGATGTCCAGCCTGAACCTTCTCTCTAACAATGTGTTGCCATTATTTCTAGTAACCCCAGGTGGTGCCCAGGGGAATAGAGCCTCCCCCAATTCCCCGGTGAGTTTGTGAATGGTCATCCGATCCCCTCTCAGACTTCTCTTGTGGAGGCTGAATGTGGTTCAGGCCCTTTAGCTCCTCTTTGTAGGGCCTGCCCTGCTGCCCCTTGCCCGGTGAGTTTGTGAATGGTCATCCGATCCCCTCTCAGACTTCTCTTGTGGAGGCTGAATGTGGTTCAGGCCCTTTAGCTCCTCTTTGTAGGGCCTGCCCTGCTGCCCCTTGACCATGTGAGTGGCCCTCCTCTGAACCCTCTCAATGCTAGCCACATCCCTCTTGAAGTGTGACGCCCAGAACGGGATGCACTAGTTTAACTGTGGCCTGACCAATGCCGCATAGAGGGGAAGGATCACCTCCCTGGACCTGCTAGTGATGCATCTGTAGATGCACGACAAGGTGCGGTTAGCCTTACTGGCCACTTCCTCACATTGGCGGCTCATGTTCATCCTGGAGTCAACCATGACTCCAAGATCCCTTTCTGCCTCTGCGTTGACAAGAAGGAAGTTCCCCAGCCTATAGGTGTGTTGCTGGTTCCTTCTTCCTAGATGCAGCACCTTGCACTTGTCTGCGTTGAATTCCATCCTATTTTCATCTGCCCACCTCTGTAATTTGTCTAGATCTAGCTGGATTCTGTTCCTCCCTCCAGTGTGCCCACCTCACCCCACAACTTGGTGTTGTCAGCAAATTTGGACAGTGTGCATTCCACACCCACATCCAATCACTGATAAAGATGTTAAACAGTACAGGCCCCAAGCCTATCCTGTAGGGGGCCCCATGTTACCCAGTGCTGCCGCTTTACTTCCTATGTATTTGAAAAAGGACTTTTTATTATCCTTAATTCTGGTCGCTAGCCCTAGCTCCATCTCTGCCTTAGCCTTCCTAACAGCCTCCCTGCAGTCCCGAGCAACAGAGGTGTAATCCTCCTTGGTTCCACTGTTTGTACACCTCCTTTTCTCCTCTCAGGAATCCCTGGATCCCTTTGCTGAGCCATGGGGGCTTCTTAGCACTCCAGCCCCACTTGGTGCGCATTGGGACTGACTCCCTTTGAGCTTGGAGGATTGTCTCCTTGGAACAACCACCTGTCTTGGACTCTCATCTCACTGAAGCTCTGAGGCCCCAATGCCTCTCCTACTAACCTTTTTAGCTTACAGAAGTTGGCCCTCCTGAAGTCGAGTACCCCTGCCTTGCTGCTTGCTTTCACCACCCTGCGCTGGATAGCAAATTCCAGCAGGCGATGATCACTGTTGTGCTCAGGCACTTGACTACCTGCAGACCCCTCACCAGGGGTCTTGGCAAGGACCAAGTCCAGCAAGGCATTTTCCCTGGTGGGACTATGAACATCCTGAGTTATGTGGAGGTCCTGTATCTCGGCTAGGAACCTACATGAGCAGTTGGACCTGGCTGACTGCTCCTCCCAGCAGATGTCTGGGTAGTTTAGGTCACCCATGACAACCACATCTCTTGACTTTAGAGCCTCTGTGAGCTGACCTGAGAATTCCAGGTCCAGCTCGTCCCCCTGGTGAGGCGGTCTGTAGTAGATGCCCACTCTCAAGTCCCTTTCCTCATGCCCCCCTTGCATTCTTACCCAGAGTGCCGCATTTTGCCCTGCCTCTGACCCCATCCTGATCACTGAGGATGTGTATTGCTCTTTGATGTATAATGCTACACCCCCCCACCCCACTTTTTCCTGCTGTGTCTCGCCTGTACAGCCTGTATCCCTCGATGTCCACTGCCCAGTTGTGGGTAGAATCCCACCAGGTTTCCGTGAGCCCCACTA